GTTGCGAAAACAATATTTGTTTAGGCGTTGTTTAACATAATCCACTGTGTGAGCAATAATATAAAATTTATTAATCAGCAATTACTTCATTTCTCTAATGAAGATTCAAGTCGTAAATGCTAATTACAATGACAAACCGATCATGTCATATTTGAAGTATGACTTTAATTACATTATTGTTTTTAAATATTATACATATTTCTAATGATATTATAAATATATAATTAATAATTTATCATAAAAATGTGTATAATGGTTGACAATAATAAATGTGTGCATCACGAGTGTTACCATATTACTAATATTACTTCAAAATTGTTATATGATGTATTTATTTTAATTTAAAACATCAAATATGAAAAACTATTTGGAGTGTTATTAAGTCGCGATAAAAAAGCAGGAAAAGCTTATATATATTGTTCTAAATATCCAAAATGACATTTCTTCTGCCTATGCCAAAAATTCTAGTAATAAATTATAACTTAATTTTAAAATATACCTACCACAAATCGCAATATCCGCCATCTGTACAATGTTCAAACTTTTTACTCATTTCTATAATAATAAATAATTATATAAAACATATATGTGATAACGTCATCTATTATATAAAAACAAAATTTTCAAAATTTATAAACAAAAAATATCTAAATTTTTCATCGTTTTAGTACCCATTTTTATTCGTAAAATATTTTATATTAGTTTGAATAAAATGCAGTCAGCACAAGACGGAATCCCGCATCTTCCCATTTTTTGTTCTAATTGTGTCTTCTCACTTTTTAAATAAAAATTATAATTAAGTATATTTTAATTTAAATATATATAGTGAAGTTTGAAATTGCATATTCTACTTGGACGTTTAGAAATTTAGCTAACATCTAGAATTAATCTTGATAGGTTCCTGAATCTTAATTTTCATAGTTTGCTTAAGCCGGCCCCAGACGTAACTGTATACTTGCGCAACCTGCGACTTGCACATGTATTTTGTAGCGTCTGTGGCGTGTTTTCTGCGCAACTTGACAGACTGGTGCAAGCGAGTTTAATTGCGCAATCATTCAAGTCGGCAAGTTCATTTGTTGGCCGCGTGTGGCAGCACATGTCCCGTTTTTATTTTACTTTGTAGCGAATTCATAATAAAAGTTTATGAAGTTATCGACAATTAAAAATTATTAAATTAGCCCTCTGAACACTTGAAATTTTTTTCTGATGCTGTAAATATATATATTTACATTTTAAATAATATATGTTTTTAGGTTATGTCTTGACGTTTCTTAGTTGACATTTGTGATATGCTTGCGCAAATACTTGAACATAAACTTGAGCCGTCTGTGGGCACCGTGAAAATACACCTGGTTGCGCATTCATTCAGTTGCACATGCATACAGTTCATTATATTTCTACTGTTCTTGTAGTAAGGATGTTCTTTGGTATCGCATTTATATAAAACTGTTTAATCGAAAGTAAAAAAACGTGTCACTTATAGTCTTTTGGCTTTCTACTGAGGGATCAATATCGCGATCGTAAGGTTGCCTTCTAATAGAGTAAATAATAAAAACAATAAGTTTAACTAAAGTGTATTAGTCTACTTTCATGCCCCTCGAAAATTTTTGAAAAAAATATTCACAAACAATTATTAATATTTGAGAAAAAAATAATTTTATGTCTGAACATCAATTTGGTTGTATAACGCCGGCCACAGACGTAACTGTATGCATGTGCAACTGAATGAATGCGCAACCAGGCGTATTTGCACAGTGCCCACAGACGGCTCAAGTTTATGTTCAAGTATTTGCGCAAGCATATCACAAATGTCAACTAAAGCCGGCCACAGACGTAACTTTATGCATGTGCAACTGAATGAATGCGCAACCAGCATAGACCTTATACAATTTCATTGTATAAAGCCGGCCACAGACGTAACTGTATGCATGTGCAACTGAATGAATGCGCAACCAGGCGTATTTGCACAGTGCCCACAGACGGCTCAAGTTTATGTTCAAGTATTTGCGCAAGCATATCACAAATGTCAACTAAAGCCCGCCACAGACGTAACAGTATGCATGTGCAACTGAATGAATGCGCAACCAGGCGTATTTGCACAGTGCCCACAGACGGCTCAAGTTTATGTTCAAGTATTTGCGCAAGCATATCACAAATGTCAACTAAAGCCCGCCACAGACGTAACTGTATGCATGTGCAACTGAATAAATGCGCAACCAGCATAGACCTTATACAATTTCATTGTATAACGCCGGCCACAGACGTAACTGTATGCATGTGCAACTGAATGAATGCGCAACCAGGCGTATTTGCACAGTGCCTACAGACGGCTCAAGTTTATGTTCAAGTATTTGCGCAAGCATATCACAAATGTCAACTAAAGCCGGCCACAGACGTAACCACACACTTGTTTATCTATGGACGTAACTTTATGCATGTGCAACTGAATGAATGCGCAACCAGCATAGACCTTATACAATTTCATTGTATAAGGTCCTCATACAATTGTATTGCATAAGGTCTATGGCAACCAGGCGTATTCTCACAGTGCCCACAGACGGCACAAGTTTATGCTCAAGTATTTGCGCAAGCATATCAAAAATGTCAACTAAGAAATGTCAAGACATAACCTAAAAATATATCTTTTTTTATTAATTTATATATTTACGGCATCAGAAAAGAATTGAAAGTGTTCAGAGGGCCAATTTAATAACTTTGAATTGTCGATAGCTTCATAAACTTGTATTATGAATTTGCTACAAAGTAAAATAAAAACGGGACATGTGCTGCCACACGCGGCCAACGAATGAACTTGCCGACTTAAATGATTCTATACAATCATACAATCATATATCCTATACAATCTTCAATTTTTTTATACACTTCATATAATCCTATTCTTTTTCTATACTTCTTAACTTATTTTCATTCTGCTTTTACTATCTTCTCATTTCATCTTCTAACCACATATTTCTTCTTCTTCAATACTTCTCATTTCTTCTTCTAAATTCTTCTTACTTCAATTCATTTTTAATTCTAATTTTCTAATTTTTATACATTTTGATTTTACATACATATCTTTTTAGTACAATTCATAATTATATTATTATTCCTCCAGCATGTGAATCGGGAACGCTACTCTTGAGCTAATCCCGCCACAAAAATTGCGCCATTAAAATAATCGAAAAGTGCTCATGCCTACTCGCTTGCACCAGTCTGTCAAGTTGCGCGAAAAACACCCCACAGACGCTACAGAATACATGTGCAAGTCGCAGGTTGCGCGGTTATACAGTTACGTCTGTTGCCGGCTTTAAAGTTAAGTAAAGTAGATAAAAGTTACACATCAATTTATTTAAGATCATGGACGATCTGAAGCCATGTGAATGCATCGAGTTGCAAGTAGAGAAAGCTATACGACGCCTGGTAGCAACATTTAGAGATAACGAACCGCCTTGCGCGGAAGATTTTGCCCAATCACCAATAGCGTCGTATAACCTCCAAACGTTAATCTATATACTTATGGCGCTACTCGTAGCTTTCATCACGTATTTTATCATGAGCCGGCCCAACTGGAACAGAAATGCCGACAAGGAGTTTAAAAATCGCAATGCTCTGGACCAAGACCAACCCCTACCTCCGCCAGCATCTGTTGATAAATGAAAATTGACATTCTCTATATTAAATAAATTTATAGACTTCTGATGAAGACAATAGTCCTTAATCAATTGGAGATAATTATAATAAATAAGATAGGATAGATTTTGTCCTATAATCAAAAAACACCACCGTACATGTATATTGCTAATTTTTATTAAAATACACAATAAATTAATTACTTAATGTTGCTTGAGTTATTTTATTTATTTGTTTTTTAAAATGATGCTTTATTGTTATGTGTTTTTTGCTAAGAATAGAATTTGATCGTTCATTTTTTATATACAAATGTATAAAAAATGCTTGATCTTCAACTGTATTTTAGTATAAAGTATGTAAATCACATGCTATTTTCTGTAGATATCCATGAGATGTACCAATATTTGATACAATTGATTATATTAATCAGATATTCTTTCTATTAAAATTTCAATACACTAATATTATTCCTAGGTAATATACACACATAATTACTTACATTTAACAAGTCTAGATATTCACAAGCAAATGTAAATTAGTGTCCCGTTTCATACACCGTTAATGAAAGTTGATCATTTTTTGAATAACATGCAATTTCTTTATACTTTAAAAATGTATTATCTTGGTGATTAAGTGTCTAAAAAGTGATTAATTAATAATAAAAAGTAAATAATAAATTGCAAAATTCATCGGCATCTCTTAGAGAATTAACATTTTGTACGCAGATAGGATTTTATTTTATGCCACAGAATTTCAGCACTAATTTCTTCCGATGTAAAATATAAGGAGCAAAAAGCTGTTATGTTTCCTCTGAGCTAATAGATATAGCAAGGATACACGTTAATATGTGTTGTTTATCTTTCATATCACATACTTTCATAACATCGGGATTCGTTATATAATATCAGGATTATAATTTCATTCAAAACACATTTTTATATACATATGCATTAAATATAAAATATAATTATTATTGCTGAAGATAATAAATAATTAAAAGAAGATAATTTAGAAGTCATAAATATATATTTATATTATCTTTGGAATTAGTATGTTTGGAAAGCTTATTACATACAATAGTATAGTTATTAATCACAAAGTTTCAAATTTAATAAGGCAACAAGTTTATAAATTAATTAAATATTTCGGCACATCTAAAACTTTTTATATATATTTTTTTTTGACTAGTTTATGCAGAAAAATATTGATTTGATAAATATATATACGTATGTATAAAATATGCATATGCTTAAGAATACTATATAGTAGTTAAAATAGAAATTACATGTAACAATATTAGAGCTTATGTAGTAAAATTTAGCACCAACAATATAACAGTCAAATACAATTCACAACAATAAAAAATGACTATGATAAAATGACTAAGTTCTTTGCGCTTGAGTTTCATCAGTTGAACATATTACCAACATATAAAATATATTTTAAGCAGCCTTTTATAACATTAATGAAAATAGTGATGCATAGTTAATCTGCTGCATCCATATGGATTTAATAGCCTTTCTTCTTAAAAAGTTTTGTTTTTTAAATTAATTAAAACATTCCAGGGCGATCAGACTCTCGATGACCAGATTTTTCATAGAACATCATATCCTAAAAAAATAAATAAGTATAATAGTTTTATTGTTGAAATGCAATATTTGAAGCTATTGAGTAATATGGAAGATTTTATTGGTGTTTTTATTAAATTGTTTTCGCAATTAAAGTATTGTTGAAATATATTCACCAAAGAACGTCTGGCTGATATTAGCATAAAACTAGTTATTTGTTGCAAAAGTTCACCTATTATATGCTCTCATTATAAAAATCGTTTTGAAAATAATTCAACATAAACTGAGATTATTAAGAACAAGAAAAGTTTTATTGACATGCATCAAAATTATACATTTCACAAATTTTAATATAATTTTTTGTTTAGGAATATTGTATTTTCTATTTGAAGTAGAGGATTATAAACATTATAATGATTTTATATTTTGTTATGCAATTATTTTGTCCTTTATTTCAAATGATATATTTTATACATACCACTAAGAATACAGCACCGAGCAGTACTGCTTTCATTTTAACATCTAAGTCCATAGGAAATGAAACACCAAAATAGTCCGCATCTGTGAATAGTTCTCTCAATATTCCACTCCATTGTTTACTAATTAATCCTATTTCAGCTGTACCGTCCAATGTTAGAATCTGTTAAAAATTAATAAAACATGAACTTTATTGTTCATCTGATTTCAAATTTCTGAAGCTTGTTTGAATCATAAGATTTTCTAAAAATTCTGGTAAAATATAGAATAATAAATTAGATGGTATACTTTATATAACTTTACCCTAATGAAAAATTGTTTATGCCAGTTTGAAAATTTATGATTCATTATTCGAACAAACATAAAAAAACCACAGTGATATTGGAAAACTTGTGTGGTATTAGTACAATATACAGTCCTTGTTACTTTCGTTCATTCAAAGTATTTGATAGAAAAATTGATTTATCAACAAGTCAAAATATTTTAAATTTTGAATAAATTTTTATGAGTATGAAGACTTTATAAAATATATTTAGTGCCGTTTATTTCTCAAATAAATTTAATAATTTGATTCTAGTTTTCTAACATATAATTTTAAAAATCATCCTTTGATGAAGGCATCACATATCACTGTTTGCTATATACATACTTTGAAATCTACATTTCCACCACAGCTAAATCTACACATTGGGCCTTCCATCTTAAACACAGGATTACCTCCTGCGTCCTTAATTATAAACGTTGGAGTTAGAATAGACCATTCTTGTTCAATTGTACCTATTACTGTGCCAGGAGGACTGGAAACTTCCATAGTCTAAACAATTAATTTTTTTGTATAATGAACAATAGGCAAAAATACTATTAATAATTAATTAATTTCTACATGCCTGTAAACAGCAAGGAAAGCAGCATGACATGCATGCAAGTGGTCTATGAAGATGTATGACTTGATTTTTATAAATGTCCATAATTTTCATTTCGAAAGGTCTCAATGGCCCACAGAAGTTTCTGGTGCAGCAGTCAGTTTGTTCAGCAGCATAAAAAACTTTATCACCATTTCCATTTTTTATTGTAAATTTATTTTCGGTTTCAAATGTAGTAAGGACTAAAATATAGTAGAATGTTATTCAAATTGGTATAATCTCCTTGTATCTTAATAGAAAAAATTCTTATCTTCTAAAATATACTTTTATTTCATCATATTATCAAATTATAAATTAATAATATATATTTAAATAGTTATATTATGAAAAACTAATCAGTATCAAGAATGCGGGAAGAAGACATTTGTATCAATTTACCTTCGAGTATTTCAACTTTTTGCTTGACGAGTAATTTATCAACAGTAGTAAGGTATTCCAATCCTGGCGGACAATTGGGGGGCCTTTGCTGCATACTCATCCATCCATCTAAGAAAATAATAATAAAAAATTAATCCATTATTTATATAGTATTATATATTAATATATTTGTTCTCTTATCTATAGTGATCAGTAGTAGCAAAACCAAATATATATACAATTTCATTTCATGTATTTAAATGTTTACATTTAATTATAAACATTTCAATCCATAACATATAACACTAAAATCTTTACAGGAACGCTGATGGCATGCTCATGAATCAAACACATTTGAAGAAAACTATGGAGGAACAAATTGCGACAAACGGTGAGTTTTTTTTTAATTCAAAGCTGTTTTATATAATACGATTACATAGCTTATTGGAACATTATTTATATTTATATTTATATTTATTTGGCCTCTTATTGGAACATTATTTCATGTCAATAATTTACGGACTGTAACAAGCCTTTCCGCAATTTGTTATAACTATAATCGTTTTGCTTTCGCCAAATGTAATGAACGAATACAATTGATCCATCACATATTATATAATAGAAAATTGCGAAGCAAATGATATATATGATGCATGTGCAATTCTTATTAAATTAAAATTAAATTAAAATTAAATTGAATAAAAATTGCTTTTTGGAGAAAATATATGAAAATGACAACTCAATCTTAACTAAAGCTTATAACTTTTCACTGAATATGACCGTTATACCATAAACGGTTCTCAAATATTTGTTATAATTACAATCTGCCTCGTATTCAGTAATTTTGGTGAGAAATGACTAAATATAAGATTTTAAAATGCTACCCAGTGGTAGTCATTTTAGATTTAAAAACGGATGGCATAAAATTACAGGACAGTAATAATAACTTTAAATTATATGTTATTTACTAAATCTAATGGGTTAGTTCTTTTGAGTCTTCTATTGAGTATACATATTTGATAAGAACAGGTCTTTGGCGAGAGTTCTCAAATATAACTAACTATTATCATTTTTGTATGATGTATTAACAATTACTGATCATAATGGAATTAGAAATATGAATTTTTGTAATTTATTTTTAAAAACATGTACACGCATAAAAATAAAGCCATAATTACATAACATTTATTTTCACAGCTGGAAATAGATTATGGTTCTCGGTCAGCGCAATAAATTCTTTCATTATTTATCGTGGAATTATATTAATATTATATTCTTTAGATACTTGTACTTTGTATTTTACTTTTGTTAGTGTTTTCACAAACTCGATTTGTGTGACTTTTGTATGCAAAAAATATTGAAGAAACAATCGAAGATTTGCTAATCGTTTGTGGAAGTTGAGTGAAAATTAATAATATTTTACAACTTTTTAATTATCACCCAAATGACACATAACTGCACTTGACAAGAAAGTGAATTTAATTATGTTATACATCTTATAATTGAAATCAAGTTTTGTACCTCTTTTCTTCATCGGTAACTAACTTCGCATATCCTTTCCTTTTTGGAGGTTTTTTCACGTGCAATGCATTTTTGCAATTTTTAAGGAAATTTCTAAATGAACATTTGTTTACTTTCTTCTTCTTCAACTCCGACAAATGTTTAACGAAAAAGTTCTTGATGACTTTAGAATAATTTCCATCGCTGGTCGACGCACCCAGTATTTCTTGAGAGTAGGTAAGAGTTTTCGTAGGATCGTTTATTTTATCTTTAGAATCATCTTTGGATTTATCTTTCTTGCGTTTATCTCCTTCAGATTTGTCTTCTCTTGATTTGTTCTTATTAATATTAATGTTCGACATTGCACTTTTTTATAACCGGGCAGCAATTTATAACATGACAATAAATAATAAAACAAAAGAAGGTTATTTTAGACAAAACATTGATATTTTAAAAATATTCGCTTAAAACATAGTATCACTACTTAAACTTATAAAACAATATCAAAGCAATAAAAATAAAAATACAAAAATTGCTGTATTTTACAAATTGTCCAAATTATATCATTTCAATATGATGAAATTGTATCATTTCAATATCAATTTGAATTGTCCTTGCTTGATATTTACGGCGATGATTTAAATTTAAAAAATGTACGTTAATAGACAACAACACTTATCTTTAGTTCAAATTAAGGTAAATAAATCATTATTAACACGTGTTTAGATTATTTCCAGCGCACTGATAAAAATCATAAAACATTTTATAAAATTGTGTATAAATTGATGAAGTTCAAACTGATCACATTGCACTCTGATTATTATACTGTTCAAATAAAATAATTAAATCAATTAAAATATTTTTTATATTTAAGATTTTTTAAATTTATATTTTTTATAAACATGTTACAAACAAACACACAATAGTTTGTCGACTAAAATATGAAACTAAAAAAATACACTTTTCGAAAAAATAACTAATTTCCGAAAAACAGAGCCAATCAAACGCACATGCTAAACAAACAATACTGACTTCGGACAATCTTATCTCGAATGATAAGACACGTTACTGGCACATTTATGTTCACGAAAACATTTTATTTGTCTTTAATAGAAAATTGTTATCACTCGATACATTCAACAACCGACTGCCGGTTCAGTTCGATTGTCGTCCTGAACAAACTTAACCAACACGAGATAAACCCGAGTCGTTAGTGTCATTGTTAAGTTAGAAAAACGCAGAGCCGGCCGTTTCGGTTAAATCGTTACCAGATTCAACAGGTCCGGCGGCGCCAGGATATACGGCGTCTGCGGAATTCAGATCGATAGCACAAACCCCCGAGTCGTTTACTCAAAAAAATTTATCAACTTTTTAACTTCCCGTAAGGTAGTTATAGTAATGGGCCGAAAATCGAAAATGAACATGTTTGCATATTTTCACGTTTTGAAGGTTTCTGAACATTTGGCATACCTCATTATCAGAAAAAATGTGTATGTGTGTGTTTTGTTGATATTGATAGGGAGATGAGCAGATTAGTTTTTGGCAAAGGCAGGTCCAGCCGTTACGGAGATATGAAGCAAAGAGTGCAGATAATAGAAATCGAGGATTTGAGAGAACGGAGTATCCGATTTGAATGATCCAAAAAACATTCAATTTGTAATGATTGGGAGAAGTTGTGCTTAGTTTTTAGCAAACGCAGGTCCAGACGTTTTGGAGATACCGAGCTACGCAAAACTTGGCAGTTTTTGAGAGAAGTAAGCATCCGATTTGAATGATTCAAACAATATTCTGCTTGTTTTGACAAAATAATTGCTTTTGGAAAAAAAATATTTCAAGTTTTTTTCTATTTTTTTATGTCGTAAGTAATGCAGATTTTAAGTTTAATTCTGGCTAAAGTTCCGAAGCTCACTTATATGCTTTAAATAAATAACTTTAACTTTGAAATTCAGTTTATATCATTCTTATAAATATTAGACAATCTTATAGTATTTATAATAATCTATTTCAAAACATTTAATATTCCACGAACATTTCGTTACGGTACGGGAAGTTTCAGCAATTTTCACCAGCACGATGCCATACACAACTAGTTGCATTAATAATTGTGCATCGTTTAAAATGATATTATATAGTTACTCATACACTAATTAAAAAAACAAAATGCATTTATGCTTATAATTTCTTCTCGCATGTATTCTCATATTTTAACTAACTATTAGTACATATTGAACTTTTTAACGTGTTAAGCGATAACATCAGAAACTCCATTAGATAATTTAGTTAAAAATTTATCAAGGAAACTCAGAGGCTGATTCTGCCGTAAACTAGACAATTGTTATGGCAAGGCTATGTTTTGTAGCAGTTTTCATACAAAATCGTACTAAATACTGCCAAAAGCCATGTTGTTGCTGTGCAGTCAGGCGTTGCATAACAACTGCCACATAACTTAGCATTGCCTTTATTACTTACTTTTTGTTTCCTTAATAATAAAATTTATTAAAACATTCTAAACAAAAATGTGGTGCGTGATAAACCTTACCGACCTTTGGTCACTGCCGACTGAACGGAAAGGACAGCAAATTCGGCACCGAGTTCAACGTGTTAAACAGCAAACAGTCAAATTTTAAATTTGCGTTCAGATTATTCTTCCAGAAATAATATTCAGTAAAATGGCGATATTTCCTAAAATTTTTATGAAATTCTTCAAGTTTAATAATAAAATTTGTTATTACTAAAAAAATACTAAATCAGTAGTTTTTATTATATAGCAAACTAGCTAGTTTTCAGTTCGTGTGCAGGCTATTCCTCCAGTAACAATAAATAGTATCCAATTTTATTGAATTCTTTTAATTAATTCTTTAATTAAATTCTTTTAATTAAATACTAAAATTTATTGTTGTTCTTTATTAGAAAAAAATTACAACTGTAGTTTTTATTGAATATTCTATAACACAAATGGGTGATTTTTAATTTACATAATAACTGTAATTAATTGCAATTACATAATTCATATTAAAATTATATTTTTCTAAATTGAATAATTAATACAATAGTGATTCAAGTGATCAAGCCAATGTCGTACCAAAACTATTTAATTGAGGTTTAATTTATTAAGTATGTTAAAAAAAATAAACGAGTTGATATTAAACATTCAAATATCATTCGCGTTATCCAATGCAAAATTATCTAACATTATGGTTTTAATTAATAATACAACTTAAAATTGCAACTAAATGCATTATTATTAATATACAATTATGTTAGAAAAGTAAAATAGGGAAATTATCATACTTTACGATCATGTTTAGGGATTATGGATGATTTTGAAACGAATTTGTTTTGGAAATAAATTGTAAAATATTATATGTCAATCGAATTAAATGGTCTCAAATATTATTCGAACATGACTATAATTCTTACTACGAGACTATTACGACAATTTCAAATACGCAAGGATTTTATTTCAGAATTGCTGAATTATTTGAGGATAGATCTTCAAAGAACAAGATAAGCAATTCATTAAAATACCGTTAAATTCTATGATATTAGGCGAGAATAATATGATAAGCAACTTAATTGAATACACTAAAAATTATTAAAAAAAACAAATATATTGCATTTAGAACCGAAATCTACCAGCGACACTGGTGATTCTGGATCAGAGTATTAAATGATATTACGTTTAATAAATTGACATCAATTTGCTCGTTATACTTGACACTGAATATGAAACACCTACACATTGCGTTAGCTCAGAGGAGACACATTATCTAACTAGTTCGATATACATCAGACAGAGTATATAAATTCTTTTCTATTCTAAAATTCTATTCTATTCTAAAATTATTAATATCGAAATATGGATTCTAAAATGTGAAACCGCAAGTATATTTTATTCTTCAGAAATATAACGTAAATACTGTCCCATCGATAATTTTTATTAATATAAAACAGGAAATACCATTTTGAAAGATAATAAATATCAGAAGGAGAGAATAACAAAAGCAATAATATGCGTTATACGTTATATATAAATTAACTTCATCTTAAAAGAAAAACAATGATGACCTTACAGCTTCGGACATAATATGGAGATAGCTCTAACCAAAGTACTCTGATTGTCAGTATAAAACGTTTATAGTAGAATTATCGCATTATATGATTATATGCAAAACATATCGTATATATAATTCTGAGTTACAGCTGCATCCGAGCGAAAAAAAAATTAACAAAAAATACAAAAAAAATCAGTACTTTCAAATCAATTCAAATTTCAAAAATTAACAAAAAATCAGATCAGGCTTATTTTCGGGTTTTCGGAGATTTTTTACTAGAAAACTTGGAAGTATTGAAATTAATCTTTTTGGATGTTATTTCTTGTCCGAACATCCTACACCTCTACAAGCCGCACATTCGTCAAAAATTCAAAAACTTTCTTTTGGATAATTTTCGAAAATTTCAAAACTTATATATCAAAAGTATTGAGTATTCACTTGTGTATCAAAATATTGAGTGGATAGAGTAAAAAAAATAGCAATACGAACACAGCACTTTTTTGCACTGTTTATTAAATAATTTTAAATTTTACAGACGTTTGGAGACTAGGTTTGTCTTATCCTCCGTGTTTGTTATTATAAATTATATTAGACTGAGGATGAGACAAACCTGGTCTCGAAACGTTTGTAAAATTTAAAATTATTTAATAAATAGTGCAAAAAAGTACTCTATGTTCATATTTCTAATTTATTTGTGTGTGTGTGTTCTGACCAAAACAAGTCCAGATAGTACAGTGTGAAAGATTTCCAGTTTCATATCACATATTTTAAATCTGTATATTCTCGTGCAAATTTATATTACTAATTTCTGTATACGATTAAATGTCCTGAAACACGGGTTTCAACCGATAAATTGGATTGCCTGTGCCACGAATAAATTGGTTACATAAAATATGAAAATGAATTCAAAAATTTTTTAAAGAAAAAACTACAGGTTGTATTTAAGTGAGAGTTAATTTCTAGACATTGAACTTAGTTGTACAGTTGATAAACACGTAATTATAAATCGGTAACTAAAACCCAGTTCTGAGTTCTAAATTTTAACTATGAATTTTATATATATATATATATATATATATATATATATATATAATATATATAATTTAGTCAATTATTCAATTATTTTCTATAATAAAATACCATAGTATTCTAAGTATAATTGCTTGTTATTTTATGATGATGCAATCCATTTGCAAACAGATTGCCACATTATGAACACTTGCTTACGAGCTTTATCAAATTTGCTACTATAGACTTACACTGACTAACAATAACCCAAAGAATATTATCAACTCAGTTTTTAACACTATATACAAACATATTCAAAAATGCAGGACAATCACTTTGACTGCAAATAACTGGACCAAAGGCTTACACAGAAGGCTGTTCAAAGGCATACGAGCATAATGACATTTTATGACTTTGCAAGACTTATTAGTTTTAGGATAGTATTTCGAAGTTTATTAAAAATGAAAAAATCATATTAAGAGATAAATACTGTAACAATTAGTTCAGCATAAGATTGATTCTCCATAAGAAATAGTTTTAGCACAGTACTAGTTACTGCATAAATCAAATACTATGCTATTATGAATCTCTGATTTTTGCTTATATTACAAAATCATGCCACAATGCAATCAAATAATATCAAATTAACTATAAGTGTTTTTTATTATAAAACTTATTAAACACTGGTGTAACCACCGACTGCAAGAACTCAAAATATCCAGCATATATTGGAATTAATATTATAAGAGTATTGTGAATGAAACAAGTTGGTGTGTCCAAATTCCTATTGCATTTAACAGCGTAGTGCTTGAATTCAAAATTGTGTATATTAATTCATTTTGAAGAATTTAATTGCATTGAAAAAATATTATGTTGGTTTCAGAAACAAATATTTCATTCTGCAAGTCAAAATTTTATTTGGTAAATGGCAAGTAAGATTTAAATTAGTACCCTTGCATATTGACTAACTTTAAATTTATAAGTTAAAGTTTCATATTACTGAATATATTAATTCCAAATGATTTGCTAATTTAATTTTAGCAAACTGTAACAACATAAGTAATGTTTAATACAATTTTTCATTTTGCAATTCCTATTTCAATAACGACATCAAATCTATTTCCTTAATGTCTTCCATTTTTAATATTCATCTCATCTCAAATAATTTTATAGTTTATTACATTTTTGATGTGCCCCTTATTTTTTTAAATTGAGATATATCCAACACTTATGAACAGATACTTACAGAAATCGTTATCGTAAGAAGCATATTGAATAAACAATTTATTTAAAAATCTATCACATCCCTAAAATATTCTTTAGAACATTTTCGTTTCCACACATATATAACATGATTTTAATATTAGTCTTGAATATATATAATTATTACCTGGCTGCGGCCCAGCATTCCCAGGACCAGGCTGACTTACTATAGGAAATTGACCAGGACCTTGAGGTTGAGGAAATGGCCCTTGTGCTGGTGGAAATTGACCTGGGCCTGGTGGTTGTGGATAGCCTGGTTGAAAACTAGGGTTCATTGGTGGTTGGTAACCTGGAGGAACGTAACCACCTTGTTGTGGAGGAAACCCTTGGTATCCCTGCTGTTGAATGAATCAAAATTTAATCAAAGCAAATCAAGATATATGGATTATTTTTCTGGATTGCATTAAAGGGAATTAAATGTTATTAGATATGTTATTCGAGTTTTACCTGTGGCATCGGAGGATATCCTGGTTGTGCATTATTGAATTGAGGTGGTGGATAACCTGGTGCTCCAAACCCTGGTTGTTGGTTGTTAAATCCTATATTAGGAGGCACATGCGGATCACCTTGATAAGCCATTATTTTCACTAAGAATGTATTAAACGCGTTAATATGTTAAATTAAATTTGTCAAATCTTTCATAATCATTAAAAATCAATGTGCGTATTTCGATTGTCTCTTTAAGAGGTCATCATAAAATTATGATGTCATATCTTATCTATACAAATACGAAATTTCGTTGGAAACCCCCACGAACAGGCGCATTTGTTATATAATCAACGTATTAAAATTAATTTAAAGTTGATTTTTTTCTACGTGCCAAAATACTTTATTTGTAGACTACTTATATTAAGCAAATGTTATATTTAGCCTCTGTTTATATTTGGAATTAGAATTTAATAAGATCTGTCAACAGTGTCAACAGGCTTTATGCGAACGTTTGTAGATGGCGGAACTTGTTATAATGATCTTTGGGTAGTTTTTAGTTTATTAAGCAGTAATTTAAGGCATGTTGCTAAATTATACATATTTTGATCGAAAATTTTAAATAAATCTTATTCATTAAGATTGTTGAATGTAATTTTTCATTAAAACGATTTATTTGTTTATATCGAGGGATATTATTCGAGTATGTTAAGTCCCATGTGGCAACACCACAGTCAGTTCGTTTGGGGATATGGAGAGGTTGGTATTTCGACCTAGTCTTGAATATGGCTAGTCGTGAGAGCTCGTTCGCATCTTTTGTCAGCAGTAGCTCATTAAAAAATTATTACTCACCGGCTTAGTCTCGAGTGGATCAAATGAAATAATTTACAATGAACGAGTTAGTTTGTGATTAAAACTGCGATGGCTAAAGTCACAGTGTATAAAAGCTGTTTTTGCATCACGGCTACGTCAGTGACGCAAAGGAAAATGGTTCTTGCTGTTTCGGTACATGTTTGGTGACGAATACACAAGCATTATAGTTTAGGTTAAAAACTATTAAATAGTTAGCTAAAAATATCAAGTGAATCAAAATGCGTGAGTTCAAAGTTGTTGTTTTGGGGTCGGGTGGCGTCGGTAAAAGTGCTCTTACATTGCAATTTGTTAGTGGGTGTTTTATGGAAAAGTATGATCCGACGATTGAGGACTTTTATAGAAAAGAAATCGAAGTGGATAATTCGCCGTGCGTGCTCGAGATCCTGGATACTGCTGGAACCGAGCAGTTCGCCTCGATGAGGGACCTGTACATAAAGAATGGCCAAGGATTTGTCGTAGTCTATTCTCTGACTAATCACACGACGTTCCAAGACATTAAAAGCATGAAGGAACTTATAACTCGAGTTAAGGGAACCGAGCGTGTTCCAATTCTGCTGGTAGCGAATAAATCTGATCTGGACCATCAGAGGGAAGTGCCCACTAACGAGGGAAATACGCTGGCCCAGCATTGGGGCTGTCCCTTTATTGAGGCCTCGGCCAAAAACCGAACCAATGTCAACGAGGTCTTTGCCGAAATCGTACGAGAAATGAACTTTAATCCTGAAAAGGAGAAAAAAAGCTATTGTTGTTGTACGGTACTGTAACACCGATGTATTGTTTATTATTACTATAACCATATAATCCTAATGTTAATTTTATTTAGTGCATACTTGTGAAGTTTTACCAGGTGTATTCAAAAATAGTGCTCAATGTTAAATTAATCAAAAAAAACGTGGTCCCGTAACATGTGGCGGCCATTTTAATAACGTGCTATACGTCATTCAATAAACTGTCACAATTTTGGCCTAAACGAAATTTAAAATCGGACATGAGTGTTCCTCGAAGAAGTTGTCAATATGTGCTTAATGGTGCCTATTTAGTGCGCTCGAATACTTTAATGGATAACATTTGCAATTTTACAAATGAGCTGGATATTGGATTAAAATGAACAGTAGGTTAAACTCATATTTTGTTACAAAATTGACAACTGGCGTGGTTTTTGGACTGCTCAAACCAGTTCGCATTATTAGTTAGTTCGACTTGGCGAAATATATCAAAAATTTGTAATATTTGAGCTTACGGCGCGACCACACAAAATATATCAATTAATTATCGGTATACACTGTGACCAATTACAAGAAATTTTTAATCTTTAAACATAATTTTATACATAAATTTTATGCTAATGGATGTATATGCAGGTACTTGAGGCTTTCTCATTAAATAAGTTAAATGTTTGTATGTATAAAAATATTGTGCAACGAACCGGTCAAAAATAAAGTCATTGTTGTAATATTTTCATTATTACTACGAATAAGTTACCAGACACACAGTGCATTCAAAGATCTAAAAATCATAGACAAATAAGATGAAAAATTATTTTTGAAAAATTTAAGCACATTTTGTATTAAAGCCAATGTATTATGATAGATCGTTTTTATGTGTAGAATTTATTAAACAATATTTGTTAATATTTTGCAAGCCAATCGACCAATTTTTAATTTAATTCGCACTCAATTCCGAATGGCATTTTTCAAATATTTATTCCTGCATGCAGTTTCTTAAGTGTCAAATAATATTACCAGATATTGGATACATTTGCTAAATAGAAACATTTACATACTGGTATTGACTTTGAGATTCCTAGCCATTTTTGGTAAAAACAAATGCTCAATTTTTTCACATACTTTATGCTACGTTGTCGTCGATACCGGAGGTGTAAAATTGTACAGTTAATTTTTAATTCAATGTATATAAGGCAAATCCAAAAATAACAATAATTTTTAATGAAAAATATCTCAATTATGGGAATTATTCGATTTAAGAGCTTTTCAAATTGTTTCTATTTTACATCTAGTATTAGGATTAATTAAAACAAAGACTCAAACGAATGTTCAGAATTTTAGTCAATTATATTTATGAACAAACTTTTCAAACCGTTTTTACATGTTCATATAACATTTAGCAATGATTTTGTTATAGATCTTATTTGAAATTGGATTTCGACGTCATAATACGCGAGAAGAGCTCATAAATTCAATAACGACCAAAAATTATAGATTTTGAATTGATATTAATACAAAACGAACAATATCTTTAACTTTCGCGAAAACTAATTTAAAAACTACATTCTATTAACCGATCAATATTTTTTTATGTGAAACGGAGATTAATTTTATCAATTCAAAATGTATTTCTTAACGTTTTATAACGAGATGAATGAGATATCGTGTTATAATAATTATCGAACAAATAAGTGAAATTTTTGACTGAAATGTTTATTGTGTTTGTTGTGATTGAATGTGTGATGTGATAATTAATAATTTTATTTAAAACTGACTTCGACTCAAATCCTGTATCCATTAGTTTTCTTTTTAATTTAATTTATATCAAATGTACCTCATAGCAATGTAATACTATTGTTTCATTTAAATTTTTATGTTTATACATACATACGCACATGTATGTGCTACATAATACATATATATGTGTATATATGTGTATATATATATATATATATATATACAATATTAAGATTACTTGCATGTATATATAGTTTTTAGACAAATTATATTTTATAATTAAAATTTGTATTCGTTTTATGTTCATGAATCAATTTTATATCAAAGATGCTAATTAATTACTTTTAATGGGATGTATACAATATTTCGAACAAAAAATGTCATGCATGTTTTGTCATAGAAATTGAATTTGTGCTTGTGTGAGAGAGATAGTCACCATTTTGTGATATATATTACGTATAAATAAAATTCTATATAATAAAAATATGTGGAAAAACACACTGTTTTATTTAAAACTTTGTTGCAAAATTAATTCATTATGAATATATTTGTTAGTCATTAATTTTTTTTATATCTAAAAATAGTAATGTGTATGCTATGTTAGTTAATTTCGTTATCACTTCGAAAGATAAATTAAGTCTGGGTCTTCGAAATTAACGAAATCTCATAGTATTTCTCAATTAGTACATACATATCTTACATATAATCATGCTAAAATATTATTAAAATACTATAAATATTACGTATGATTATAATAAAGCGACATAATATATAAAAATAAAGGCTTTCCAACGTTTTTATACCGCACCCTCTTCCGTTCTTATAAAAATATTGTTGTGCGCCCCTCTTAAATTTTGTAACAATTTAATTTCGTAAATATCACACAAATATTATAATTTAATTATCTGACTATACATTAATATGAAATGCTATGTAAAAATATACGTCAATAATCATTATTTATTACTTTATCTTTATCATTTCAAAATTTTTTGTTTATATTCGGAAATACTATTTTGCAAACAGCTGTACACTCTGTCGCAACAGCCTCGTGCGCTTCACAGGTGGGGAACCACAGGTTTAATGTGAAATATTAAAAAATTCAAATCAACCACTTTTATCAGCTATTCTACGCTTATTTTAATATTTTTCGATTCATTTTTATAAATACTATAATTTTATGAAGTAAAGGGGTTTTAGATTCTTTACCAAAGAATTTAGAAGAAGTTTACTAAGAAGGGGAGACTTGGGCTATGAAGGGGAGAACGGGTACGGTTGTGTCACTTTTTTTATCAGCAATAATTTTGTTTCAATTTACCAGTTAGCTGGTAGAAAAGTGAATTAAATAAATAATTTAAACATTTATTTGCGTGGAAATACTGATTTTTTCCAAATTTTTATTTGGGCTCGCTTACCTTGAGCCTTTGGCCACTTACAACATTTTATTTAATTACATTGTATATTATTTTTTATATCATATTCAATCTCATATATCCTATTCTATAATTTTATTTTTATTTTTTTTTCTTCAATTATTTTCTTCAATTTTGATTTCTTCATTATCTTTCTACAATTCTTGCTCTTTCATTTTAAATTTCTAATTCTATTCAACTCCTTTCACTCTTCCTTCTATTTTATTTCTTCATTCTTTTTGTAATCTCAGTCAGTTTTAATGTTTTTTTATTTTTTTTAGAATTCTATTCGAATTCTATAATTTCTATTTTTACTCCTAATTTTTATTCAAATTTTACTTAACAATCCAATTCTATTTAATTTGAAATTCTATTTCAAATTAACTATATGTATATATTTTCTTAAATTTTAAGTCAATGACAGGATTCGATCCGAAGATCCCTGTCGATTAGTCATAAAATCAAATAAAATACATGTCACAACTTTTGAAAACAAATTATCGTTATGATTAGCTAAATCATCTAGGCAAAATCTGATTGCTGGTAATTAACTACAAATGTTCAACTTAAAGTCTATCTGTATACACGTAACAGTTATTATTCAATAATATCGAACAAAAAACTTACTTTTGGCTCTTTAAAAGCTATTCGGTCTACAAATTGTGTTAAAGTAGGACGCTGACTCAATACAGTAATGGAAACTTGTTCGTACAAACATACTTCATCTTTCTTCCTTTGGACTCTCTCAAAATCAGTACAGTTTAGCACTGATGACGACTGTCACTACCGTACTGTGGCACAACCGTACCCAGTCTCCTCTAATCATTTTCAATTTATATTCCTGAAACGTACTATGATTCATGGTCGTAGATTTATAGGCTCAAGTCATTCGCAAAAGTATTTTTTAATTTGTATTGAATCATGGCATTAATACAATATTCGCATTATTTAACAATAGATTCGTATTTTCGCATTAGGTAATACATTTTGTATGGGCCGTAAAAGAAGTGAAAGTAAGCTGACGTGACATAACTAAGATGATGGGTATTTAATACTTTCATTTGAAATATGGTTTATTAACGCCACAGGGAACATAAAAAAGTATCGGCGTTGGAGGACAAATATTAACATAATATATATATATATATATATATATATATATATATATATATATATTATAAATGATATGTAATCTGTAGGTTGTGGTAAATTGACTTCGAAACAGAGGAACATTACATTATGTATACATCCAGTCAACTACTACTGAGTTATTCTTTCTAACATTATTTTATACAATGTCTTTTTTACAACTGATAATTAAAAATTATCAAATTTGCTAAATGTTAACTGAACCGTTATATATATATATATATATATATATATATATATATATCCATCATTTATACTTTAAGATACAAATATCTTCCAGGTACTCTTATGACTACGTTATAATTTTTTTAGTTTGGACATATTTTCGAATTTTGTTATGATTTTTGTTAAATGCTCAAAACACTTTTTTATATGTGTGGAATTTGTTTAAATTTCTATTAGCGTTTTATTAATTACCATTTTTTTCATCTGGTTTGAATTTCGACAACTTTGAAAATAAGTGCGCCATTGGACAGCATTTTAAAATCTTATCTCTACAGATTAGTCACCAAAGTTACTGAATACATTTCCAGGTAGATTGCCATTATATGGATAATGGCAATAAAATAACTAGTGGGGCGCATGGCATCGTGCCTTAAGGCAAATTGCTAGAACTTCTCGTACCAAAATATATTTTTTTTAAAAATATTAACATTTTTGAAAAAAAAAAGTTTTCGGAAAAAAAAACTTTTTGAAAAAAAATGTTTTCTTTATTTTGAAATATTTAGAAAGTTCTGAACTTTTTTCAAAGCAATCGTACTGCTTTAACTGCATAAACTGCATAAAGAGACAAAATATCGAAGCGCGTAAGCGCCTCGTCGCCGTCTTACGGATAAACATTGGTACGGAACCCATAGGAAAGTAAACAAAATTTATACTCATTGTTAAAATCTCTATAAAATATCTGATAATCTGATAAATGGCATTTTTTTTTTACTTTTTTTCACTAGATCCTGCCTTCCTGAAAAATTCAGTTGTTCATCTTGTCAATGTAAAATGCTTTTTGAATTATTAAAATCGAACGCTCCGTTTTCTTAAAACTGAGTTACCATTTTGGGCACTTTTTGCCCCGTATCTTCGGAACGGCTAGACATGCCTCCGCCAAAAACTAATCAGCACGTCTCCTTATCAATACGAATCGAATGTTTTTTGAATTATTCCAATTATTTGATCTCTGTTCCCGAAATCGTCGACGAAAATTTGTATCCGCACACACACACACCCACACCCACATACATCCATTTTTTCTAAGGTATGCCAAAATGTTCAGAAACCTTTGAAACGTAAAGATATATAAAAATTTTCATTTTCGATTTTTTGCGATTACTATAACTTACCCTACGGTAAGTTAATAATAATAAAAACTATACTACTTCTATGAAAATTGGATGATTGACGACGGGATTAAGCCATTCTCCCTGATTCAAACTTGTTTTCTTTTATTTTGTTATAAGCATATAAAATGTTATTTCTGACTTTTACGATATTTTTTTAGTATTTCAATAAAGTACATTTTTCTTACAATATTTGTGATATTAACTTTTTCAGTAGTTTAATTGCTTTTTGGATTTTAACCTTGTCAATCGCGAGCCTATAAACTTTTTAAATAAATTTTAAAACGTAAGTTCATTAATGCTGACCATGGTTTTAAATGATTTTTGTTTATTCGAGTTTGCGTCAATTTTTAAAATGTTATTTTCACAATTAAATTATATATCCATATGTAAAGTTAAAAGATCGAAGACACTATTTAGGTTTTTTAAAACAATATTGAAAACAACCATGTATAAAAAATTGATTATTTTACATCATCACATAATTAACGGTGTTATGTTTGTGTTATAGCTTTGTATGTGCCAAATTAATGCAAATTTATTATTAATTGATATCGACTGATGGTTGTGGAAATCTTTAAGTGCGAATATGAATAATTAATAGTCGCCTAATGTTCATACGAATGCAAACTTACATATACATATTTCAACAATCGTTATGTTCCTGGATTTATTGAAATTTCTTGGCAAAATTTTGGCGTCGATTATTTCTATAGATATGATGGATTTCAAGCATGAAATCTTCAGTATCAATTTTAATTATATATTGAAGAATTCATTAACTAAAGAAATTTCTTTTAAATATATATCTCTATACATACTTTGATTGGAAACTCCCTTTTCAACACCAGTTACAAGATTTAGCATTTAACATAATAATCATTAATTTATTATTATTAATAATATTACTATCATTTTTTTTTGTCAATCAAAACTTTATTAAAGTTTTATAATACAAAATTGTTGAGGTTTATAAA